CACTCGTGTTGTTCATTTCTAATTTAATTTAATTTTGTGTTACCTTTATTTATGTGTATCCCTTTTCATACACCCAGATCTCACTTTTAGTGAGTGAGATCCATACCAGAGATACATTTCCTTGGGATGTAAAACTGCTTACAGCATTGAAGAATCTGGCCCATTACCTTTTAGTTCCTTTACCAATCCATCTTGCCCATGGGTAGCACAGTTGTCTCTGTTTAAAGTAAGCAGGTTCATATTTTCTTGGCTGTTTGAAAGTAACTGAAGATAGGACATGAACAACAAAGTTTCCTTTTAAAAGTCTTTCTTGAACATATATTCTTTACTACTAACTTTTAATCTAATTTATGTACAGATAACATTCATTCAAGTATAGTTGTGTACTATACCTAAATATCCTTGATTCAATAAAATCAGACCACTAGTCTAGCTTAATGACAAAAAAATCATATGATTGGCTTAAGCCAGTGATTCTCAACCTCATTCGACTCAAAGTATCTCTTGTTAGACTTGAGGCACCCCTCAGAAGATGCCAGATTTCACTGTAGAAAAATAATAGAGCACTTATTCTGTTGCAAAGAACTCAGAAAAACCACAGCAGGTCATAACGTTTTTAACACTATGGATTCCTATTTGAAATATCTGGGTTTATCTCGTGAATTATGTTTGTGCACTGTGTGTGGCACCCTGCAGCACTCTTGAAAGGATCTCATAGCACCCTGTTTGAGAATCACTGACTTAAGCAATCACATTCTGATTATGAACTGTTTTTATTACAGTAACTGCTCGTATTTTCTTTTCTACTTTAGGCAATAAAGACATATCAGAGTGATCCTGCAATGAGAAGGATGCTAAACCAGTTGTATTTCTATATCATGCCAGTATTTAATGTAGATGGATATCATTTTAGCTGGACTGATGTAAGTTGTTTTGCCAACATTGTTAAAAGCGTGTCAAGATAGAAGTGAAATGACTGTATGGAAAGTCTCCTTTAAATGCTATAATAATCCGATCACTTTGTAACATGATACGTGAATATTATTGACTTCTAAGGAGTGAAAAAGTGTATCAAACTTCTTTAACCTGGATGATGTGCTATGTGTACAAAGCTGTTTTATCAATATATATTCAAGCATTTGTATTTTTTTTTATTATGTCTAGGATCGATTTTGGAGAAAAACAAGGTCAAAGAACTCAAAGTTTCATTGTCATGGTGTAGATGCTAATCGTAACTGGAAAGTGAAATGGTGTGGTAAGTCTGGAAATAATTTTGTTGTCCAAATTCACTTTATCATGTATTTAATCATCCAAAGCACTGAGCAAATTACAACATTATAGTGCAGCAGTAGCCTCTCCTTAGTTAGTGTTGAAGTCAGATTTCATTATTTTATAACCTTATTAATCAATGACCTTCACAAGTCTGAAAAAAAGAAAAAAAAATCCCAAAAGCATGATTTTCCTAGGATTTGGATGCCATACCACACCTCAGGGTAGATGTTTTTGCCTGAGAAGCTCAGAAAAGTGAAGCAAAATATTTTAATATTAGACCCACCAATACACGCCAGCTACTTTGCATTGTTCAGTAATGTAAAAAAATAAAGAAGAAAATGGTTAAGTGAGGTTTACAGCTGCTTTGTGTTGCTGACACGATACAGAGAAGCTGGTGCACAATGGTGAACACCTTCCTTTCTGTTTTCAGAATTTATCTGCCCTCTTCCTTCAAAACTTTTCCTCATTTTTTTTATTCATTATGTCTTTAAATTGATTTGGCTTGGAAACATCAGGTTTGTTTTGGTGGCCTTAAGGAGGACAAGGGCTTCTGAGTATTCTAAGATACTAGCAAATTATCCATCAAGAACGACAGTGGGGCGGGTGGGGATGGAGCCCTGTGTCCAGCCCCATGCCCGCCTCTCCTCCTCCCACCGCTCTGCATCCGGCCCCATGCCCCCCACCCCACTCCCACTCCATTGCCCCCCTGTCACTCCAGGCCTAGCCCTGCTCCACCCCCAGCCTCCCCAGCCTCCCTCCCTGCTCACCATCTCCCCCTCCCTGCTGCCTGTTCTGGGGGGTGTCGGGGGAGGGCAGTGGGGGGGCACCACCACCGTGATCCCCCACTTTGCCATCAGGCAGGGAGATGGGGGGAAGCCCTGCTGCTCATGTGGCCAGGGCTTTTGCTGCTGCTACAAACTTTTCCAGCAGCAATGCAAACTTGGGCCCATGCAGCCCAGGATGTGCAGCCAATCACCGCCTGCCTTTTCGGCGGCACATGCACAGTTGCCCAAAAGCATTATGGACACACACACACACACACACACACACACACACACACACACTAAGCCTTTTATTATATTAGAATTTATTAGCGAAAGTTTATTGAAGAAATAAATATCTGCTTTTAAGCATATGGAGATTCATTCTTAAATTCTCAGTATTAAATAAAGGTCACATTAACAGATCTAAATTTGGCATGAATATGGCTGTATTACTAAATACAGTATACATCTAAATTGTTAGAAGTGTATTTTTATGGCTGGACTGTAGAGTTCATACACCAGATCAAGTACACTAAAGTAGTAGTGTGGTAGAAGACTCGACTAGAATAAAAGAGCATTTTGCTTCTACCTCTCATTTCATGATAATTTCTTATGTGACCTTAGACAAGTTGCTTTCTCTTTCAAGTCACCTCCATCTCCCCTTCCTTCTTTGTCCATCTTGTTTATTTAAATGTAGATTCTTAAGGGAAGAGGTTGTTAGTCATCATGCCTAAGTATAGACAGTCAAAAGGCCCAAGGCTAAATTGATTCAATCTTTCCAGATTAGTCAAAACTGCATAGATTGAACCAATAAGCAAGTGAGCAGACATTCGCTTTTGATTCTAGGAATGCAGCCACTTGCCTGCAGTTGCCCAGGCCAGAAGCCATAGGGCATTAGAGCACACCTGCCTGCTCAGCTGGAGCAGACAGCTTGAGCCAAAACTAGCCCAACCACCCTGTGAGGTGGAGGGTGGTTCAGGTGAGGTGCAAAGCATTCTGGGATGCTGGGGGACCATTACTTAACTTGGATTTGGAGGGGATCTGGGACAGAAGCTCAATAAACTGATTTAATGTAAATCAGTTAGGTCTGATACTACATCCATCCAGGTTTATCTTAAACCAGTTTCGGCCATTTGAAAGCAGTTTATATGCACTGAACTTCTGCTGTATTACAGATATGAGCCAGTTTCTAATCACTTGTACTGGTTTATTTGTAATTTCTGTCCCTAGCCCACGTGTTTGTAGTGCTTAGCACAATGGCACTCCAATCCTTCTTGAAAGCTCTGGATCCTAATATAAAAATAATCTTATTGCTTCAAATGAGTAAACAATCACCAGTACAAGTAAGAACTGCACCATCTGATTACAGGTGAACATTGGTTTTATCTTTATATACGTTTCTGCAAATTCTGGTGTTAAAACCATACACAAGGTAAGTTTGAATGCGCAGCCATATTTGAGTGACAGCAGGAGAGGAAAGGTAGAACAGAAATACTAGATAATCCAGTAAAATTCTTATAAAAATACAGAAGTATAATTTTTACATTGATCTTTGCATATTATAAGCACTTGTTTGTCATTTTGTAAATTATTTTTCTCTATTGCTTCTATTCTTCCTTTCCCAAACTACCTATGTTAATACTGTATTTACTCAAATCCAAGACAAGATTCCCCCCACCCCACCCACAATCAACAAGGGGGGAAAAAAACTTCATCTTAGATTCCAGTACAGGCCTGGGGCAGACAGCAGCTCAGCTCCAGTTTCATCCCCAGACTCCAGCTTCTGTGGTGGAAAAGGGGATGTCCAGTGGGGGGAGCATAGGAGAGACCATACAGTTGGGATGGGGGCACCTGGGGAAGACCCATAGTTTGAGGGTAGCACAGAGGAGATTTTCTGCGCCCCCGCCACTGCCACTTACCATCAGTTCTGGCTCTGGCTTCTCTGGCCTTACCCAACCAGGCCCAGAGCTGCTACCACTGCTTCTGCCTAGCTAGACTGGGCCAGAGCCACTGCAGCTGACTGCCCCAGAGCCAGAGTCACCATAGAAGGTAAGAGGCAGGGGGTAATTGTACAGGTGGCAGTGAGCAAGCCAAGGGCAGGGGAAAGAGGTCTGGCCCATCACCTCCATTTGCTGCTTTCCCCACAACAGCGGGGGGTGGGAGGGAGTGAATTTAAAACAACCCCCCAATAATATAGATTCCATACATAGAAATTATGACAAATTTATCATTTTCCATGTATAGAATCTAATTACTAGGCAGCTGTCTTCAATTCAAAGTTGTCTTAGCTTTGGATAAATATGGTAATAAAAACAAAAACTAGAGACTATTTCAACTCAGTAGCTTAGATATAGAAATCCTTAGTACAGAAACATTATCTGAGCCATTCTTGTTACTACTGTTTTTCATTGTAATACATTATTTTTGCAGCATATATACACATCTTCAAACAAAAGCTCTAAATCTTTCAAAGATTTAAATGCACGCCTACCTTTACACAGCAGAGTAGCTTCATTGATTCCCATAAGCTTACATTCCACACACATGTAAGCTAGAGGATCAGAGCCCTAGTTTTGGATATCTTGCTGTCTCAAACCCAACTTCAGTCCTTCCCTTCTTGTTTTACTATGCTAGAGTCTCAATACTGGACCAATATCGTTACCTGTGGTCAAGGGGTACTCAAGCGTGCTCAGGAGGCATGATGCAAAAGCCAATTCTGCCCTTATAGTTTGGAGCCAATCTGTGCTGGTTCCTCAAATAATGTAGTGCATCCTGAACACTAGTACTGATTACCCCTCCAAAAAGATTTTCTCTTAACCTGAAATCAGTGAGTTGGAACACAGGCTAATTTAGTTCACTAGATGCAGGAACAGAATTAACGTAGGACCCCCAACAGCAGATCTGTGCGACCTAAGAATGCCTCTCTCTGCGAAGGGATATTCCCAGGCCTGACTAAAATTTGCACAAGGGAAATACTGCAAAGCTGAATAAATCTGAAGCTCCAGCCTAGCTTATAAATTTAACAAAGAGTGAAATTACAAGTACTCCCATGCACTTGGTTTTCAAAATAAACTATTACTTGTATAAATGGAGTGCAGGGTTCTCTTGTTAAGTCCTTGGAGTAGCATTTTATTGTACCTTATTAGGTACACTGTTCATTGCTTTTCAGTCCCCAATTGATCTATCATTTCACTTATAATTCCTCTTCTCCTGCTTCTCCCAATCCTTCATGAAAATCTAAACACTGTTCCTTGGCTCCTCTCTGAGTGAAATTTCTTTTTCTTAGATAGAATATTTGTAGCTCTCTAAAAAGCTTGTGCTCTACCAGCTAAAGGAGACCTCATATCTAATCTCCATTTTACACTGCTTTGAAAAAAAAGTTGTTTTTTTTCCAGAAACAAGGACTAAGATGCATAGAAATTCACTGTTTTGTAAGCAACAAGTCAGAGGCAACATTAGAACTCTGAAGTTCTTCACATCAAGGTCCATACTTAGCCATCATACTTGTTTCTCTCCAAATGGAGCAGAGACAAACAAGGGTCATATTTTTCTGGTTACGTTATCCTGATCTGCATAAAAGCCTGTACCACGAGTGCTCAACCTATCTGGCCCTGCTGGCTGGGTGAGAGGCATGGAGCCAGTCTGCAGGCCAGATCCTGTTTTTAGGATCAGCCTCTGGGTGCAGTCCGTCATGGTGGTTAAGCCCCATGTGCCAAATCCAGCCCCACACACTAACTTGACCCCACACATCTGGAACCGGCCACATGCTGGCCCAAATCTGTGTGCCCAGATTCGTCCAAGGGCAAGCCTATGCGCTGGCACAATCTAGCACACATGGCCACATCATCTGGTCTGTAGAACTCCCCATGGATCTGGAAATTTGGCAGCAGGAGAGTGGCAGTCAACACTGCTCTCCTGCTGCCAAATTTCCAGATCTGTAGCGAGACTCATGGGCCAGATGACTCTGCAGGCTGGATCTGGCATGCAGGCTGCAGGTTGACCACCACTGGCCTATACACTTTATGCTCATAAAATAGATTTTAAAACTTTTTAACTGGCTCAGACACATTTTCAGTTTATAGGCAGGGCTTGGATTTCACATGCTTGTGTAACCTGGGCAGTACTCCAAAAGGTACCCCCTCTCCAATTGAAGGGATCAGAGCAGGTGCACAAGCACTGTGGGAGGTGTAGGGACCCTCCTCCCCCTATAGAGCCAAGC